GGCACTTAACAACAACAAATACTCAGAAAACAAAATCTCTCCAGGTGATATAGTATGCATGCAAAAAATTAAACACAGAATTAACATGCTTGCTTGATTTATCATTTTCCTTATCTGGAAAGTGTACAAGAAGAATTTTACAGTTAAGTCTATGATATAAATCCTCCTATTTAAATATTATTTGTTTTTTAAACCAAAGAATTCTTTCATATTTCTGTCCACTATTCATTTATGATAGAGGAGTATGACCAATAATAAGGTAGATATATTTTTTAGCAATGATTCTCTTCTGCAATTACATTTTATCTTTCAATGTTTCCTGGAGTATAAATACTAAAATCCAAAATAGCAATTTACCTTTTTCTTTAAGAGATAAATCAATAGAGACCAATGTTACATTCATACTGTGATTTGAAAAGTTTACTTTCTCAACAACAACAAAAAAAGAGTGACGTTAGCTAAAGCAAAATATCCCAGTATCACTTGATTGTGCTCCTCACTTCTTGCTTCCTGAGCGTCACTATCATCTTTTCTGTAGCTTTTCATACTTGATTCAAGTTAAAAAAAAACAGTTTTCTCGGATCAGAACCAGGTGTCTTTAAGCTTCAGCACAGAACTTCTGGGGCTGCAAGTTACAGACCATTTAGTGATTACCTCCCTGCTCTCTGTCAAGATTTGAACACTCATTCACATGATGTTAAACATCTACAAACATGAAATTAACTTCAGACCTTCACTTACGAAATTAAAATAGTACTGAGTTATTTTGTCTAGTGATTTAAAAGAGTTCACTTCCAAATGTAAACTTTGTTGTTGTTGTTAAGTGCCATCGAGTCGGTTCTGACTCACAGAGACCCTGTATAAGGTTTCCGAAGAGCAGCTGGTGAATTTGAACCTCCAACCTTGCAGTTCAAATCAATTTTGAGGTTGAATACTAACATATTATTTCAAATTTTTAAGCTTAGATATAGGTTACCTTAGCTATATTGCCAGTGTATCCTGGAACCAAAGTAAGATGGTTTTCTTGTTCCCACAATCCACTTAATTGTTGTTTTAAAATCTGAATATTTCTAGAAGAAAATGAGAATTCAAATATATTAGGGTATACAGACTTTGGTAGTAAATACATGAACAACAGTTTTAAAATTTTCAAGTATTAATCAGGAGGAGAACACACTACTTAAAAGTAAGCAACTGTTTAAGATAGTACTACACGTCAATCACAGGAATTAAAGGTCACTTAGTTGCCAAAGCCTGTAAGAAAGCAACTAGGTGTTTGGACACCTGCTCTTGAGCTTGAAATATGAAACTTTAAAAACACTTGAAATTATGGACTTCAAGGAAAGTGCTGGTGGTTTCATTTAATGTCTAGATGGTCCAAGGATGCTTTCCTTCCTGTGCCCTAACACAGCTTCCCTAAGCACCCTCTCTTCTCCTTCTCTACTATATTGATTACAACGGAGCTGAGGGTTACACCATAGCCATGCTTTTTCCTTTTAAAATGAAGGGCAGGGTTCTGCCAGAGACATACAGCAAGTCGCTGGACGCTGGAATCCAAGGCCCATGTTTGATTTTCATATATGAACATGATCTCAATTTAACATTTCTCTAAAAATGAAGAGGATACATATTACACATTGATACATACAGCCTACTTAAACCAAACTGCTTTTCTGAAGTATTAAAGCATGAATTTATTTTTAAAGGAATACTCACCCATCATTTATAGTTTCTGTTTTGGATGACAGCTCTGACCACCACCTTTTAATGACTGCCTGAAGCCAGTTTAAACCAACTATTACATATCTGAAACGACATTTTGTTGCAAAATTCAAGGGGTTTTATCCAAGAAGCCTTTAGTAAAGTCTGAACTCTCCCATAAAACACACACACACATTTATCTTTCCCCTTTTGCATACTCATTTCACTACTTTCATGATCCATTTCACAAAACTATGATGCAGCTTGTTTAGAGCTGTTTCTGTCATTGCTCTTTTAGTAATTCTATATTGGTTTTCCCTACTTAGATTACTGACCTCCGTGAAAATAGAAACCAGGGCTAATGGAGACCAATCTAACCACATGCACTCACATTAGGCACAAATTAAGGATGCTGAAAGAAAAAATGAATTGAGATTCAAATTAACACTTACTCTTCAAATTTGCTTTTAAGTAGTGATTTTACTAGTGGCAACAAGTCTACACAGCAGCCAAGTGAGATGCATTGTTTTTCTTCCTGTAAACTAAAAGAAAGAAATACTAAATTTAAAAAATATGAACTGGCCATAATTTGTCCTTCTTTAAATTCAATTTTTTTTTGCCCCTGAAAAATTTCTTTTTACCTATTGGTGAGCACAGGAAGACAGTCGACCACAACTCCAAGATCTTCTATCCTGTGGGTACAAAAAGGACAGTATTGCTTAGAGAGCTGATTTCCTTATTGATATGAGGGAGATTCAAAAAGTTCACGTAAAAATTAAATTATCTTTTAATTTCATTTTCCACTAACTTTCTGAAATCCCCTTGTTATCTTCTCACCGATCCTAAGAAACTTAACTATTGGTTGTTACCAATTTGAGTCTTTATGATGAGCCAGGCACTGGGGATACAGCATGAACAGAGAAATACAAATCTATGCCTTATAGAGTTTATATGTCAGTATGTGAGTGTGGGAAGCCAGGCAGAAACAGAAAGTAAACAAACAAGTACACGGACTATGTTGACGGTGGTAAGTATCATGGAGAACAATATAGCAGGAAAGGGAGATAGGGAGAAATATGTACTTTCAAATGATGTGGTTGCTTAACTAATAAGGAAATATTTGAATAGAATTTTGAATATATGAGGAAGATAACGCTCAACAGGGATTTTAAAAAAGGTTTTCCCATACTGGTCTCGTGGAGTTTTATAGAGAAGAATCTCAGTCAGAGAAGGTACCAGCTGTGCTCAACCTAACGCTGATAGTGAAGATAAAACAGATTCACTATTTTCTTTTTTTCACTCTTGTTGATGTTGTTAAACGCCATCAAGTCAGTTTTGACTCACAGTGACCCTGTATAGGGTTTCCAAAGAGCAGTTGGTGGATTTAAACTGCCAACTGCCAATCTTGTGGTCTGCAGTCCACTAGTGACCCTACAGCACCACACACCACTCTCTTAGATGGTGACAAATATAAACAACACTGTTTCTATTAAAGCTAAAAATTGTTGTTGTTATGTGCCATCAAGTCGGTTCCAACCAATAGTGACCCTACCTGGGGTTTCTAAGGAGCAGCTGGTGAGCTTGAACTTTTAGTTTAAACCGACATTGAACTTATAGTTTAAATCGACATTGCTACCCAGTGCATTAATGCACAGCACCACATCAGGACTCCAAGTTAAACACAGCAAGTTTTAATTTCTAGGTAGTGATAACATAAAAAAGAAGAGGAACTTCTAATTATCCCATTGCAGTTTAGTTTTATTGAACAAAAAACATAGTCACACTTACCTCACCAAATAAGCCACAAGTTCACTTATACTTCTTTTCCTCCAAAAGGTTAAAGCTACATTCAACCTCAAATTCCTGCTGAACAAAACTTGTGCCATTGTTTCATGGTCCTGAGAAAGCTGAAAGGCAATAATCTAATACGTTACAAAGCACATTGAAACATGGTATGAAACCATTTTTCTTCAATTTAATCATCCTATAACAATATTTTTAATTATGCATAGGTAACTCCTTTTACTATCCAACAGAGGAATATTTCAAATAAAAATATAGTCTGAATCAATACAGAGACTAATTAGTTTTTAGTGAACATTCTTCCTTGTTTGCTACCAATGACTTTCTATTAAATCTGTCTATTAAGTAACTTTAAGGAACCCTGGTGGAGCTGTGGGCCAATCATTGGATTACTAACCACAGATAGGTGGTTGAAACCCATCAGCTGCTCCGAGAGAGAAAGATAAGGCTTTTTGTAAAGATTTACAATCTCAGAAACCCCATATAGGATAACCATGAACTGGAATCGGCTTCATGGCAGTGGGTTTGGGTTGGGCTGTTTGATAATGAAAAAATAATTTTCTATCTGACCCACAAACCTTGCACTTTATGTAGATTAAAGGAAAAATAAACATACAAGGGTAAGCTAAAAAGTACTGCTACAAAATCATAGGATTGAACAAAAATTTCAGAATGTGAAGCTATTGTTTAACATCTCCATCTAGGTCTATACATGTCTGAAGGCCATGTTTTCCAGCTCTCTAATCCTTCCCCAGAAGAATTCTAAGCCATTTGATTTGCACTACATTCAAACAATAGTTTTGGTATCCTCAAGGGACTCAAATCATGTTCCTTTTAAAAGCTGAGTTTGGGGGAACAAAAAGAAGTCCGAAGGTGCAAGATCAGGGCTGTAGGATGGATGGGGTAATGTTTCCCAATGAAAATCTCATAGGCTAACTCCTGATACGGAGTCCTGGTATGGCACTGTGGACTAATGTGCTAGACTGCAAAGTTATTTGAGCCTCACGGTCAGTGGTTCAAGTTCACCAGCTGCTCCTTGGAAACCCTATACAGGGTTGCTAGGGGTCGGAACTGACTCGAGGGCATTTAACAACAACAACAACAACAACAACAACAACAACAACCCTTGATACCCTCAAAGAATCAGCAAGTCCATTGTAGTTACAGGAAAAAAAAATCCTCAGCACATCCTTCCTATCCTTTTCCTCACCGATTCGGTTTTCAATTACCTTAACGCTTCTTCATAATAAGTCCCCTGATCATCCTGTGTCCTTAAAGTAAATCTATCAAGATTACCCCTTTGGGATCCCCCAAAATAGTCACCTTAACCTTCTGAGTGGCCCCTCTGCCTTGAACTGAACTGACCAGCAGATCCCATCTGAAGTCACTTTTTTGGTTGGACTTTTTTTTTTTCAATTACATCATATTGTTTACTTAAAAGTATGCACATGTGTGTGTACACAAAAATTAGCATTTTAAACTCATTTCTCAAATCCAAGCTATTTTGTATTGTTTGATAGGTCAGGGACAGGCAAAGGTGGCAGATGGGATGGTTAACTGGATCATAATGCGGTTACCCTCATCTATGCATGCAATAATGTGATTGTGAACAATTCCCAACATGAGGCTCCTGGCTTGCACTGTGCTATAATCATGTGAGCGATGTCACTGAGGGAAACAGGAAAAGTTACTGTCCTGTCAACTTTGTTGCCATCAAGTTGGTTTCCACTCACAGCGACCTTGTATAGGATTTCCAAGGAGCAGCTAGTGGGTATGAACCGGACCTTGTTTTTGAAAACACCCCAAGAAAACTAAGGCAAGTGCATTACTGAGAGAGCTTGTCTGCAGGCATCCACTGATCACAGAAAAATGTTTAATCACATTTTGTTTGGAACAAAACCTGTGAATGTATGAACTGGAACTCTAGGAGTAATAACTTTTTGATTTACCCTCTTATAGAGATTAGTCATTATCAACTGAAATGCAAAATCAGGGAATCCAAAATTTGCAGTTCTCGGACATGTTAAGAAATCATTTAAATTTATTCACTTGTATTTTACAGAATATAAGGAATATACTTCTATTGAATAAAATTTAAATACCACCCAAGTGTTGTGGTGCTGTAGGATAAGCACTGGACCACAAGGCTGGTTTGAACCGCAAGGTTGGCAGATCAAACCCACCAGCCACTCCTCAGAAATCCTGTAAATGATCGCTATGACTTGGAACTGATTCAAAAGCACTTAATAACAACATACAGAGTAAAGTGAATAATACTTTTTACCTGTCACAGAAACATCCAGCCCCACTTCCCAGAAGTGATTATAGGTTAGTATGAATCTTTACAGATTTCTGATGGGACACTGTATGATAAGCACTGTACTGTAAACCAAAAGGTCGGTGGTTCGGTGGTTCAAACCCACCAACTGTTCCTTGGAAACCCAATACAGGATTGCTATGAATCAGAACCACTTGACGGCGCCCACAACAACAGCTCATAACAACAACAGCATGTATCTTTACAAATCATCTTCTAGACAAAGACATATTATTTAAATATATGTGTACATATATAAATACTTAAAATGAAATTATATCTATAGTTTAGAAGCTTTGCCTTTTAACTTACATACAGTTTTCATTGGCAAAACATAGATCAATCTCATTCAATACTCTCCAGTCTTTATACAGAAAAACATTGGATTGGTTTTTGTTTGTCCTTATGAAAACTGTGTCTCAATGGATAGAAGGAGCCCTGGGAGTGTAGTGGATTATGAGATGGGCTGCTAACCTCAAGGTAAGCAGTTTGAATCTACCAGTCGCTCCTCAGAAACTCTATACAGGGTTACCATGAGTCAGAATCAACTTGACAGAACCACACCACCACCAATGAAAATATTATGTATGTAAATGTATGCACTTGTACAAACACTTAAACAAGATTAATTTACACAATTAGAACTGCTAGATCAAATTACACATATCTGAACATTGACAAAATAGCATGGTATCACTTTTAGAATAGATTTAGGTTATTACAGCAGGTTTTAGTAAACCACAAAAAAAAAAGAATTACAAAGGAGTTATCGATAAGCCTATTAGTTAAATGTGAGATTGAGGGAGGCTTTGGTGTAAAAATGAGAAGGCAAAGTAAAAAGAGGGACTTGGAAATGTCTCACTGTGGCACTGAAATACATAACTGAAACTACTTTATTAAGGCATTTATTCTGAGAAGGCTTACTTCCTCAATTCAGCTGAACAACTAGGCCTCAATTGAAGCCAGATTTTTGTGTTATATACTTACTTGTATGTTCTTTTCCTACAGAGTATGCAATTTCTAAGACTGATTAGTGTTTGCCTCACCAATTTTATAGCGACATGAATGCTGGGATGGTGTCTGTTTTCCACTTACCCATTTCCCCAGAGTCTGCATAAGGCATGACACAACAGGGGAACATCACAGGTACTTGTGAATTCATTAGTATGACAGTGCTTCTCTTTATGAATACTGAAGGCCAGTCATTATGCTATTCTCCAGAGCCCAAGGTCATTCACTTTTGAAAAAAATTTTTCTTCAAGCTCTCTTCTCACAGACACCATTTACTTCTTCCAATTCTCCTAGCGTTGTTATATTTTTATTACTTCAGGATCTTTATTATGTAAGAAAGGTTATTTTCACTGACAAACAGAATGCATTTTCTATTATTTCATTATAGTTTTAGTTAACAAATAACATTTTCTAAAAATCTTTTTACCTTTGTTTATCTCATTTATTTCTTCTAATTATTATCCTGAATATGATGTCTTCATGTACCTACCCATACTGTTTGTAGGCCACAGAAAATGCTTTTCAAGCTGTCATGTTAGACAGAAACAATACTAAGGTTATCAAATAATATTTTAAAAACAGGGTGTACTCATACAATGTAATACTATTTCTATTTTTAAAATAATAGCTACTTAATGATCTAAAAATCCTTAGTCACTGAACTCAAATTATCAGATAATTTATATAAAAAGAGAAGAAAAACAATTACTATTATTTCTTTCTGAATGTTGAGATTATAGATTTCTTTTTCTTTTGGGTTTATCTTCTAAAACGCTATCTCAAGACTGATTGTGAGGGTTGGAAATGCAAAGGTAGACGTTTTGTAGCAAGGAAGGGAGTAATTATTTCTCCAGTCTAGGAGCGGAGGTCTCTGGGACCATCAACGGAGAGGAGCTGAGAGTGGGACCCTACCAGGGAAGCAGGGATGTCTGAGATGGAGACAGAGATGATGACGTGGAGTGATGAAGCGGCTGGGGACTTTGGATCCAGAGAGGGAGAGGGACTCTGGGCCAAAGACTGGGGG